GAAAATTCCAAATCCTCTACCAATCAAATCCTTTATCAGTTGAATAGAAGAAAAAGAATGAGAAATGTAATATATATATATATAATAATAGTACACAACCAAAGTAAAATGTTCACCAAAGAAAATTCTGGAGCAGAGACTGAAACCCAGAGAAAATTGGTCTTTTATTGATTTGAAAAGTTACTGCAAATAAATTACTCAAATTCATACATTTCGCACTACCAATGCCCTAAATCTAGAGTTCCAAACTTTCCCAAATAGTCAACTGATAAATTCCCAGAGAAAATCACAAAAACTCCGAGAAATTCACTGATAAATTCCTAGAGAAAATCATAAAAACTCAAAGAAATTCACAAAAAGATACACAAAAAAGGGTCAAATTTAAGGATCGGGCTAGCCCTGAAAATCCGTTTAGCTGTTAAGTTCATTGAACATCTGTGACTGAAACCTATACAAAAAGAGAAAGATAACTGAGAGAAGATACATTTTTAAGAGATTTTTTTTCTACCTATGTTACTCCATTAGTCTTGTACTGAAATTTCTGAGGCCATAGTTCATAAAAATCCTGCCAATAGAAAATGTCAATGATTCTTTCAGCTTAACTTATTTCTAAGGAATAAAAGAAGATATTAGCCAAAATAGAAATGGAATTAGAATTAATCTCCTCCCATTCTTACATTCCTCTTCAATTCTTCTCAAATTCTCAAACATAGTTAGTAGACAATCATCAAAACAAAGCCCAATTGAATATGAAAAGAAAATAAAACAAAAACAAAATTAACTTAGAAAAGTTACTAGAAGATACATTTATTGACAACATTAAAATCTTCTTTCTCATTTACTACTACTAATAAGGGAGCTTTTTTGATAAATCCATTTTCTAAGAGCTTTATTCCATCCAACCCATATTCTTTTTGACTATTCCATTAGGTCCAATTTGAGATAAGAAGACCAAAATACCCTTTTCATCTACTTATGTTCAATTTAGTTCACATTATTTTCTTATGTTTCAATAAGTCCTATGGGTGACATAATTACCAAAATACCCTTAATGTGAATGTTCACACCGTCAATGTAAATGTTCATATTGTCAATGTGTAGGGGCCCGGCCCATGTCGATCCTCGTGGGTGCCCGAAAAAATTCGAGTCGGGCTGGGCCGGCCCACAGGCCAAAAAAATAGGCCCAGCCCGTTGATAATATGAATATTCACATTGACAAGTTAACATTCACAATGATAGGAGTGTAAAATTGGCCTGCGGCCCGTGGGCGGCCCAAAACCAACCCGCCGCCCAGGGCGAGCCCGGGCCTGCCCGTTCACAATGTGAATATTCACATTGACATATTAACATTAATATTAACATTGACAAGAGTGTAAAATTAGCCCGTGACCCGTGGGCAGCCCGAAGCCCGGGCCCGGGTCGGGGCAGGCCCGGCCCGGCCCGGCTCGTTGACAATGTGAATATTCACATTGACATATTAACATTAAAATTGATAAGAGTGTAAAATTAGCCTGTGACCCGTGGGCAGCCCGAAACCCGGCCCCGAGCCGGGGCGGTCCCGACTCGTTGACAACGTGAATATTCACATTGACATGTTAATATTCACATTGATAAGAGTGTAACATTAGCCCGTGCCCCGTGGCTGCCCGAAACACGCCCACGGCCCGTGGGTTGCTCGAGACGGGCCTGGTCCGACCTGTTGACAATGTGAATATTTACATTGACATGTTAACATTCACATTGATAAGAGTGTAAAATTGACTCGCATCCCATGGGCGGCCCGAGTTTGGGTTCGGGCCTACCCCGAGTAACGGACAAATTTTACACTCCTATCAATGTTAATGTTAACATGTCAATGTGAATATTCACATTGTCACGGGTCAGGCCAAGCCCGCCTCGGGCTGTTAGTCGGGCATCGGGTTGCCACGGACTGCGAGCCAATTTTACACTCCCTATCAATGTGAATGTTAACATGTCATTGAATATTCACATTGCCAACGAGCCGGGCCTGCCCCGGCCCGAGGTCGGGCTTCGGGCTGCCCACGGGTCACGGGCCAATTGTACACACTTATCAATGTGAATGTTAACATGTCAATGTGAATATTCACATTGTCAACAGGCCGGGCCAGGCCCGCCCAGGCCGTGGGCGGGTTTCGGGCAGCCATGGGGCGCGGGCTAATTTTACACTTCTATCAATGTGCATGTTAACATGTCAATGTGAATATTCACATTGTCACGGGTTGGGCCAAGCCCGTCTCGAGCTGCGGCCCAATTTTACACTCTTGTCAATGTGAATATTAACATGTCAATGTGAATATTCACATTGTCACCGGGCCGGGCCCGCCCCGGGCCGCGGGCGGGCTTTTGGAGATCCATGGGCCGCGGGCCAATTTTATACTCTTATCAATGTGAATGTTAACATGTCAATGTGAATATTCACATTGTCAACGGGCCGGACCGGGCCCACCCCGGGCCTCGGGCGGGTTTCGCGCCGCCACGGGACGGGGGCCAATTTTACACTCCTATTAATGTGAACGTTAACATGTCAATGTGAATATTCACATTGTCAATGGGTCGGGCCGGGTCGGGCCTGCCCTAGGCTGTTGTCTAGTTTTATACTCTTATCAATGTGAATGTTAATATGTCAAAATGTGAACATTCACATTGTCAACAGGCTGGGCTGGGCCCGCGCCACGGACCGTGGGCGGGTTTCGGGCAGCTACGAGACGCAGGCTAATTTTACACTCCTATCAATGTGAATGTTAACATGTCAATGTGAATATTCACATTGTCAACGGGTTGGCCGGGCCCGCCCCGTGCCGCGGGCGGGCTTTTGGCCGCCCATGGGCCGCGGCCCAATTTTATACTCTTATCAATGTGAATGTTAACATGTTAATGTGAATATTCACATTGTCAACGAGCCGGACCGGGCCCGCTCCGGGCCGCCCATGGGCCACGGGTGGGTTTCGCGCCGCCACGGGACAGGGGCCAATTTTACACTCCTATTAATGTGAATGTTAACATGTCAATGTGAATATTCACATTGTCAACAGGCCGGGCTCGCCCTGGCTCGCGAGCGGGTTTCGGGCCGCCCACGGGCCAATTTTTCATTCCTACCAATGTGAATTTTAAAATATGAATGTTCACGTCATTAAATTGCTAATCGTTCAAAAAATATTTATAAGGGTATCAAAATTAAATATAAGGGCATAAGTGTCCAAGAAAATAGTGTAAATCAAGAAAATAGACTTTATGGAATAAAACTATACATACATGGGATTAAGTGGGTTAAAAAATTTCTTCATGGACTTCTTAGATTAAAACACTTTTAAATTAGACTTATCAATAAAAATTCCAAACAAATCTCAAAAAGTGTAATTATAATTTACCCAAAAAATTATGTTACAAAACTTAAACCCGGTAGTATTATTTTATTTTATTATTAAATTAGCCCTAGTATCTTCTATGGCTCTGTTCCACGTTGTTCTCTCTTACCTTATCTCTAATTCACTCCTTTTCCTTTTTCTCAGTCTCTCCTTTTCCCTCTCGTTGAGGGTATCAGAACCAGTTGGCAACCCTGAGTATTCTGTCAGAGCCGTGATTGAATCATTGATTTAATTCTGCGTTTTCAGATTTATTTAGATTGGTGAGGAGCTGTTTGGAACTCCAAAACCAATTTAAGATTTGGTTTGAGACGTGAGTTGACTTTTTAGTGTTTTAGTTATTTGAGTTTGAAATTTAAAAGTTTTATTTGTGATAAATATTTTTGGTTTTTTTTTTATTTTTATAAGAGAAAAAATGAGATGATTATGAATTAGATGTAATATTTTATTCAATTTAATTAAAATAACTTATTTTACCTTATATAATTATTTTAATCCCAAGAGACATACCAAATGAATCCTAAGTTAAGGAAATGTGCAACGCATATACTAGGCAACTCTATATAAAATTATGTAAGTTTCACATATTTACATAAATGATCATAAAAAATATATATAAATTGAACACAAATTTACATAAATTCATTAAAACTAGCGTGATTAGATAAATTTATATTAAACTCACACATTTTTCTAAAATCACTTAAATAAATTCGTAAAAACTTATATAATTTGTATAAAGTTGCATATAGTGTGTAATGCACACCGAAAATTTTTCTATTAATTTATCATTAGTTAAAAAAATTAAATATTACATTAATATTTTTACTTTAAAAAAAAGAAGAGAGAGAGAGAGAGAAAGCAGATGGGCTGGAAAATTATACAAATGTAATTTTACCCAAAAAAAAAAAAAATCTACTTTTTTTAACTAAACAAGTGAGGGTTTTGCTTTTCAAAAATAATTCTATGTACCTACCCTTATTAATCCCGAATGAGATGTTGTGCAATGCACACTGAATTTTTTTTTTGTTAATTTATCGTTAGTTAAAAAAATTAAATATCACATTAATTTTTTTACTTGGAAAAAAAAAAAAAAAGATAGAGCAGATGGGTTGGAAGATTAAACAAATCTTATATTACAAAAAAAAAAAAAAAACTTAAAAAAAAAATCTAATTTTTTTAACTAAACCAGTGAGGGTTTTGCTTTTCTAAAATAATAATTTTATGTACCTACCCTTATCTATACTAAATGAGATTGTATGGTTATGATTGAATTTGTGTGATGTAATGTGGTGTATCAATATTTATGAAAACAAAAATGATTTAGAGCTCTAAATAATAAGCTCTAAATCTACCACTAGTGACGTGAAAAAAAAAAAAGAAAAAAAAGTACATAACACGTCATTAGTGGTAGCACTAATTAGTGATCTCTAGCATTATTGTTATGAAAAAATAATTCTGAATTGAAGTGTGCATATTTGCCATCCGACCCAAACCCGACCTTTTAAAAATTGATAGACCCACATCATCCGCCTGTTGCATTGAAGCCGTCCATTTGAGGTTGGATTGTTTTCCCAGCCCTCCATTGAGATATCAAGACTACAAGCTCACAAAAAATAATTTCACCCAGCAAATTTAGAGATTGGAAGCTTATTAAAACCATATTTATTTCACAATGTAGGAGGCACTCAACCTAACACCCCCTATTCCCTCCTAAAAATAGAAAGAAAAACAACATAATACTCAAAAATAAAACACAAATTGAGGCCCGGGAAACTTCTAAATGTGCATCACTTGTGCCATATTGCATATCTGTTGCCACAAGTGGCAAGTTTCCACTCCCTGCCAGCTGGGCACCACGAACCATCACCGATCTTCATGCACACTTTCTCCCCAATAATAGCAGAGTAGAGATTTGGCTGTGCTTCGAAAATGGTAATAGATGATCGGCTGTTAATGTCTTGTTTCTTCCGAATTTCCATCTGCATATTTACTCAAGAACATCAATAACAGCTCAAGAATGCCAAACCAATGGGATAATAGAAGTTAACTGACATACCAGCTTCGCAATTTGGTCATGAATGGAGTTGCCCCAATCATAAAAATGGTCGTAAAAAACTGTTGGTATCCCCGGATGTGTGAGTATATATGCATAGCCCTGGAGAATGAAAATGATGTCAGAACTCACAAAGTAAATAGCTCAAAGATGGAAAAGGGTTCACCAAATTTGAGCAAATGAAGAACCGGATTGAAGTGATTTAGCAGCTGCAGTTTGTACAAGTGAAAGAATGGAAACATGGCCTTTCTATCTCATCATAATTTAGGCTCGTAATTCAATAATCAAATGTTATCAATGGACCAGGATTAAAAAAGACGTTAAAACCCCCTGAATACCATTGCTTGAAACTAAGACTAAAGATGTTACAAATAGAACAATCTTTCAATTATATATGTGCCTGTAGCTTCATCAAAACAAACTCAAATGTGTACTAGAGGTATATGCGGGCAGACAATCCAAGACTCGGAAAATTTTAATTACCTCCATAATATGATGCGAGGGAAACGGCCAATGAGCCTGCAAGAGTTGAACAACCAGGAGTAAATGGCTAGCTATGCAAGGACAGTAAGCTTGATTCTAAAACAACTAGTACAAAATAACAAACATATGAGAATTACTTCTATGCTAGGCACGCGCAAAGGATTCACATCCAGCATTCAAATATTAAACCCAAAAAATTATCCGGTGTAATTTTGATCACCTATGACCTGATTGTTTGTCAACTGGCAATCCATTTTAATATTAATCTACTAATTAAAAAAGAAAAAAGCCAATAGATCTTGCGGAGTAATCTCCTCTTTTCTTTCTGGAAGTCCATTATTTGAGAAAAAAAGTTCAAAAAAGTAAAATAATGATCTGGTTGGGATAAATCAGGTTGGGCAATCAAACAGAAAGCATTAAAATTCATGCATGGATGCCTGCATGAGAACAAAAAACAATGATCCCAGCAATACTATCAGAGCCATCTGTACCAACTATTGTAAAAAAAATAAGGAAATTTTACTTGAGTGGAGCCCGTATCATGGTTATCAAGGAAAGTGACAGCCCTTGAAGGCCACCATCCCATCACTCCAGGTGGTTTTCCTTGATGATCACGCAGACGCCAGAATTCTCCCTTCACCGCTTCCTGCATAGTGATATACATAAATTAATGATAAAAAGAAGGATCACATTCCGTGAAATAGCCAATATATTGATAACTGAATTAACAAGACCTAAATTCACTATTAAAACACACCAGGAGTTTAGGGCAAATGAACATGGCATAGTGCATCAAACCGTATAGTCAATAAAAGTTGAAAAGACTACTCATATGATAATGTTATTTTTATTTTTTTTGATAAGTCATATGATAATGTTATTATAAATAGTGGAAATATCAAAAAAGTGGAAAGATGGAAATATAATTTCAAATGCATGAGAGTATAACATTTTTTTGCACAAATTAGTGCATGAGCCACTTGTACTTACATGAATTTCAAATTATTTTAACCTGTTTCCACTTTTTTGATATTCCCCCTTATAAATATATGCTTGCCATATTGAGAAAACCACCTGCTGGAATTCTTTGAAAGAGAAAATAGATTTATATCCACAAAATGTCTCCAAGAAAATACCTGAAGAATTCCCTTTGTTGTGAAGTCAAATGCAGTTGAAAGCTGCCCTGTGCCATCAATCCAATTGACAATCCGTTGCCTATGACTATCTGCATGTGGAATTATTGACAAAAAGGGAATGATATAAATATATATAGGATCAAAAAGCTGAGATTAATATTTTTGCCTTAATAACAAATTGAAATACTCGTCAACCAGTGAAAGACATTATAAAAAGAGAACAGAGAAAGATGTTAACAAGTAAAAACTATATCATGGATGTTTCTAGTCAATAGGGTAAGGGTAAGCTAACTAGTTGATGCGAATTAATGGGAAATATCAAACCATCTCTACTCTTGCAGTAATAGTGCAGTCTTAAATTCATGGAAAAAGCATAATATATAGAAGAAAGAGCACAAAGTAAGGATGCAAATTCGAATTCATTACTAAAGGTTTAATACATAAAGGGCATGTTTGATTGGGTGGATTAGAGCATGGGATTGGGATTATTAATTCGTGGACCCAATTATCCTATGTTTGTTTTAACATTTTGGTTTAGGATTATTAATCCAATGGATAATCAATCCAACAAATTTGTAAGATTATTAGTAATGAAGTAAGGGTGGGATTATTAATCCAATGGATATTAATCCAATTGGATAGTGAACACCACACTAATTTAATAGGATTATTAATACTTCACTATTAGTCTTGTGAATCAAACATGATCAAAAAGACATGAAAAATCTAATATTGTCAAACGTAAATGTCAAAGGGAACAAACTGATCCTCATGAAAAGACATTAGTTAAAACCAAGCTAACTAATATGGTGAACTAGTCCATACGGGACTTTGCCTCCGCTTCAGTTGAGCCCTCCACTAGTGGACGGTGGGATTGGTCCCCCAGATTAGTCTGTCTAGTGGGCTGGATACTGAGTTATAAAAAAAAAAAAAAAAAAAGTGGTAAAAAAAAAAAAAAATTAATATGGTGCTCCAAATTAGTGTGTTGAAGGTAGCCATTTTGCTTTACAAGAAGAGATCTGATAACCATCTCAGCAAGTGTGAATACAAGCATTCATAGTTCACATAGATATGCCCGAGGACAAAAACTTCAAGAAAGATCTTTCTACCATTACAGCACGAGATACTACATGCCACACTCACAATCAATGTCTTGGCATTGCTTCTTCTTCTATTTTTTTTTGTTCTTTAAAAAAAAAAAGTATTTGTTAGGTTTTTGTAATTGGTAATCCCATTTGGCAAAACTCTTTTTAGTTGAAATTTTATTCGCTCTTTTGTTTCAGTGAGCCTGTGTGAGTGTTTAGCTGCGAATCCAACCCGAAATATGCCTATGTAGAGGAGTTTGTGATGACATTCCTTATCTTGAGCATTCCTTGCTTGCCACTTCCTAGCGGGTCCGGGGTAGCACCCAAGCGGGGTTGAGGGGTAGCACCCCTGGAGCCAAAAAGAAGTCAAAGTTATTTGATCGCTTGAGCGGTCATTTGTGCGCTCGAGCGGTGAAGTGGTTCATCTAGTATCTCTATCTGTGTTCTACACTTCTGGGAGACAAGTTTTATCGCTCAAGTGGTAGATGTTGCGCTCGAGCGGTAAAGTGTGCACTCAAGCAGTCTTCGTGGCTCTGTTTAGTATAAAATGTGTTGTTTGCTATATTTAGGGTTTAACCCGTCCAAATTCTCTGAGAGGAGAGCTACCAAGATTTTTTATATATTGGCTTCCTTGATGATTCGAGAGCGATCGATGGATCTATGAGTTTCATTTTGACATCATCAAGGGGTTTGTTTTTTATTATTTCATTCACAAGAGAGAGGTGTTCTTTGGTGAATTCCGGGAAACTTGGGCTTGAAATTTTGATGGATTCCGGAGTGACTCATCGTTGTGGATTCAATGTTGGGCCAAACAATTCCGAGGTGAAGACGGTGATGGAAGAGACACATCGGGTTCAGTTCAATTCAGGCGTGGATTCGCTAGGTAATTGAGGGTTATCGTGCGTAATTCCTTTCTCTTCTTAGTAGATTGTTTTGTGGTTTTGGCTCGTAGTTTTTTACAATTGGAGATTCTCCAATTGTGATTTTTTCCATGTTATATTGTTGTGCCAATTTTTTTTTGTTGATTTTTTGATTGGGATTTTTCATTGTTTGTTAAGATTGAAATATAATCTCAAATCAATATCTCGGGGGGTTTTTAGTTTTTTCAGTACTGACTCATTCTGACGCAGATTATTAGAATTATCAACTTGGACTGCAGCTTATTTTTCTTGATATTTATGCTATGAACTGAATTGTGCAAAGAACGTAGAAGTATAATACCTTGGTTGAATTCCAAGCGTTGACCATTGTAATTGCAAGAATCCCAATATTCACCAACAGAAAATACAGGCTTTGCACCTTCAATATATTCCTTCACATAATTTGCTGAATACCTAAATCAAAGATTAAGATGAATGATGAGTAAAATGAAATTTTATGAAGATGGATGCAATTAAAAAAAAAAAATTACAGGGTTCATTTCTTGTTGCCATGGTAAAAGTTTGGGCTGCCAATCATGAGAACATAAGTTAACATCTAAGGCAGCCACTTCGGGCGAATCACACTGAAGCTTAGGTCTGTACTTCATACAAGCCTACCAGCACCTCGTATTGGCAGGACAAAAGAAAGAACAGAAAGGAAAAACAGTAGAACTTCATAAAAAAATTACCCTCTGGCAAAATCAAAACGAAAATCTTGGAAGCCAACTGTATTGCGAAGCCATTTTAGCCACCCAATTAGATCTTTTCGAACAAAGTGTTGGGTATGGTCAATATTTGGAACCCCATGGAAGTTGTCCCCAGTGCTTTTATTACCCTGGAAGATAGATTAACATGTATAAACATTGATGAACATAAAAAATTAAAGATTATGGCCAAGTCATGCAAAGGAATACATCTGAACATCCCATTCACGTGTCTTTTCAAGCATATTTGCACAAACATGGAGGGGGGTTGGTAATGGGTGCTCAAGAGATTAAACAATTCTACAGAGACATTTTCCAAAAGTTAGTGTTTGCACCCATTTTTGTAAATTTCCTATCGATAGGTGGATCGATTGAATGATAACACATGGCAATAAAGTCAAAGTATTAGTCTTTCATTTGATCAAAGAGACACAAAGCATGAAATAATTGTTTGAGTGCATGAATTATTGAAAGTAGTCATGAAGCAGTTATAAAACAATTGTTGACTTAGTGGGTTGATTGGTGTGAAGTCATGTTTGTGAAATGGAGCTATGTTTTTGTCGATATAATGCTCAAAATTTTGAGGGATATGTGACATCATGGAGGAGAATTATTTCGACAGAGAAATGTGAAGAATTGCTGAAGTTGAAGGTGAAGAGTTGAAGCTTTTGTAGTTTACGTTGAGCCCATTATTTGGGTTTATTTGGATTAAGTATGTGTCCTCCTGGGCTCAAGAAAGGGATTTGTTTAGTTAAAATCATTTTTAACTTAAACAAGGGGGCCATTTTTTGCCAGATTCCTATTGACAGGTGGATCAACCAGATGGTGACAAGTGGCAAGGTCAAAGTGAGAGTCTTTTATTAGTTAAAGGGATAGATGGCATCAAAAGAATGGATCAAGTGCAGCAAGTGGTCCAAGTGATGGAGCAATTACTAGGCTGAGTCATAGACTTAGTGGGTCATTGCAAAAGTGATCAAGTACAGAATAAGGGCTTGGCTCTATCGATCAGAGGTCCAAAGTGTTGAGGGACACGTGGCATCATTAAGGGAGAGTAGCTCGACAAAGAGAGTTAAAGATTTGGAGGAGTTTGAAAGCCTTGGAGTAAAAAGGCAGTTACAGAAGTAGTTGAGGTAGGGGTAATTGCAGATTCAAAGTCATATGATCATGGGCCAGAAAAGAAGGGAGAAGATATAAAAGCCATGGATTTTGCAAGGAAGGAGATCAACAACCACCAAAAGAACTAGTTTTAGACCTAGCATAATTTAGGAGTAGTTTCTCTTTCGAAATAGTAGTTCATTAATGTAATTTGTAAACTATTGTGAACTTCAGTAGTTTAACTTTTGAAATTACTTTTTGTTTACTCTGTTTACTTTATAACTGTCAATTGTTCTAGAGAAGTCCTCATTCCTTTGAGGCATTTGAATTAATTACACAGTTGCCTGGTTACTCTTGTTCAATTGTTTGGTTTGAATTGTGGTTTAATCCCTATCGATTGGGAATAAGCATAATTTTTACTAACACTTAGGTAGGGGTGGCTAATTCTACAGCAGTTTTTATGAGAATTAATTTCAAATAAAACTACTAAGCAACTTGTCGACAAATTAAATCGATTCCATCCGTCACATCCAAAATTTTCTTAGCATGACTGAAAAGAAGTTTACTACAATAACTAGCCTTACCAATCCACCGGTACAAGATGTAACAGCACATTCATCCCAAGATAACTGAATTCCATCATAACGGTTATACATTCCACCATGCCCTTTGGTAGTTCCAACACGGTGATTGATCACTATGTCAGCCATTGCTCTAACTTTGTATTGCTTCATCTTTTGAAGTAAAGCTTTTAAAAGGTGTTCAGAGCCATATGAAGAATTGAGAGAATACAGATTTTGAGGAAGGTATCCTGTTATGGAAGGGAAGAGTCCAAAAAAAAAAAAAAAAAAAAAAGAAAGATTAAGTGTATTCAGAAATATAAAACATTAGTTTGAGTTCTAAAGTGAAATGTTCTTCCAAGTTCCAACCTTCGGGTGCAAAGGAATGAGTTGCTGGTGGTAACCACGCCGATGTAAACCCAGATTTTGCAATATCAGGAACCTTGTTGTCTAAATTTCTCCACCAATCATGTTTGTGAGACTCCCAGTTAAAAGCCTGTTAAGCAAATCATCAGTCAGCTGAACAAACTTAAGCATTATTCAAGAATTGAGAAGTAAAATATACTATGATGAAATTGAATGTAATGACATCCTTGTGAGAGCTCACAGAATCCACAACTTCATCTTCTTCTTTTTTTCCAACTAACTCGGAAAATCCTAGACATGGTAACAGCCACTCTAACTCAATATGAGTCAAAAAATAATTTGGACAATGAACCACAGGTGAATTTCTACCTATTTTCTAGTGAAGTTAAAATAGGTCATCATTAGCATTTACCTGCAATAAAATTTCTCTTCCACTCTGTACTACTGCTCCTGAAAATGAATCCAAAGCACACATTAACCAGCTTTAGTACACCAATATCTTTTCCTTCACAATCAAAATATAAATTGACACAAAATCTAAAATTAGGAGGCAAAATTGAGTCAATTGAAAGTGTAGGGATCAGAATGACACAAGGGGGAAAATGTAGGGACTACTAATGTAATGTACCCTTAACTCAATGGGAACTTATGTGCATCACTTCTATGAGTCTCTAGGAATTATTTTATCTTCTTATCCTCAGTTCCATATTGACTCTAAAGATCAATTACGCAGGATTTGAGAACATAAAACCTTCTCATTTCGTAGTATGTAGTAATGATAACAGAAGCAGTAATAGTACTAATGGTTAAAGTTAGGCAGATAATTTGTTTTGTTACTGTATTCCAAAAAATGTGCAACTATAAAATTCAAATCCTGAAACTAGCAACATGGAAAAAAAATTATATGCATCCATATCATTTTTCATCTCTCATCTGTGATTATGATATCAATAGAAGCTATTCTTTACCACTAAATACATATAGATATACACACATATGTATGGCATCCGTAAACACATAATTATACATTGGTAAAATAGTGTCTCCATTTCTTATTTTTGCTAGATCAAACAGAAGAGGAAGGAAGGAGAGTCAGGAAAGGAAGGAATGCATTAGTCTAAATCCACACAGGTTAACTTTTAAACAGACATTCCACATGTGAGCCACATACCACAGTTACAGCTAACTGAAAGTTTGAAGCCTCTATATAAAATGGTAAAGCCAATAAAGATAAAAGCCAAAATAACATAGAGAAAATTGTTCTTTTTGTATTGCCAAAATCTTGCAGTATGTCAAGGAAACAAAGGACATGATAGGGAAAAGAAAAGCATACCAACATCAGTCTGCTGAATACTTTCACCCTGCATTTGAAAGCGTACTGTATGAGTATCAGAAATGAATAAATAATCCTTAGAAAGATCAATTGACTTTGGGAAACACCAAACAAAAAAAGAAAAAGAAAAATTGAAGTAGGATCTTACGTTGCTCAGGTAACTCATACTGGATCAAAGGTTATCGTAAAAGCTTTGATCCTGGATTTGAAAATATGAGGAGAAATCCTGTACAACAGTCAACAAATATTTTAACTGTTATAAAAGGATTACAAAGGAGAACACCAAGTATATCCATGCATAGTGGGATAATTGCAGTTTCTTCTCATTGAAGAATGTTAGAAGCTAAGACATGCTCAAATTCCAGATCTATGGCATCAGAATCGAAACAGACAAATCCTAACAACTTTCCAAGATTATCATCAAGGCAAAGGAAGTAATAATAACTATAGTTGGTATCTTTGTAAATTTTGCAAGCAAACTTTACAAAAGGAACTAACTCTTCAGCGAGAATCTAATTTCAAAGACAACAAGTTTCTCCTCATGCTCTTGTACTATGTATAAAAGATATGTTCCTGTAGAAAACATTATTTCGTTTATATCTTCATTTTCATCTAACATGACAAAACATCTTCTCTACGCAATGACACATCCTTCTTTTTAGGTGAAGTGTGGCAAACAAATAAAGTCCCATTGAATAGTATTTTCAAATTTTCAGGTTTCAGGGAGAAATAAATAAAATCATAAACTCTGTTCAGCTATGGACCTGTAGGAATTAACTACAAGCATGCCGATATATATATATATATTATGGCATTAGATGCCAAATCCACCTGCATCCAAAAACCTGCAAAACACCATCATCCTCACCAACAAAAAAAACCAATGATGTTTTCATCACCTCCACCATTGGCATGATCACCTCCAATGCCACCACCACCACCAGCACGCAGGCTGCTGTCACCAGAGCCACTATCATTTTTTTTTTCCCTTTTTCTTTTTTTTTTGTTAAGTGATGGGTGAGCGGAGACCTAAACTAAAATGGGATGCACTACTAAAAAAAAGATATGTATTTATTTAATTTAAGCATATGGTCCTTAATAGAATAAAATGGCAAAAAATGATTCACGTAACCGACCATACTTTAATTGGAACACAAGGAATAGTTTTGGTTTGTTTTGGCATAATTTTATTGAAACAGGCCGAACCAATCATATAAAATACCAATCCTCACCATATATATCATATTGGTAACAAAAATGCTATCAACTATGAAAATTTATCCCGAATTCTACTCGAGAGTGAGTGTGTGGTATAAATTTAAAGTTAGTGGAACATGAGCCCACTGTGTTTAATTCATGATTTGGAAAGCGAAACAGAAAAAATGAAATATAAATAAAATATAACTAATTTCACACCTTTTTTTTTCTCTTTTCCTTTTCAAATCCCTACCCTAAACACAGACTTAGACTCAATTATGGATTTGGATAGTAAAATGGAATAAGAAATGAGAAAAGGTGGTGAAATGTATATTCTTTCTTTTTTTCAAATTTCAACTTTAATCTTAACACAATTAACAATGCTATTAATGGAGACTAAAACGACAGTGACATTTTTTAATTACGTGAAGTGAAGCAACATCAATAAATGAAACGTAACAGTAGAGACAAAAATTTGAAAAAAAAATAAAAATAAAATAAATTAAAGTACTCACAGTTTGTGAGGAAAGAAAGTAACCGAGACTGGGATTCTTAAAGGGAGGGGCGATCGCAGCTTGAATTTTCCTGTATGCGCATGGAGAACTTATATAGAGAAAGAAAAGCTGAGAAAGCGATTGATTCTGATGAACTGGAATCACGATTTCCATCCGTAAGAAGGAAAAGTGGGAATGAAAAGAAATTATTCGATACCACATACACCACCACCGGCTCTGAATTTGTCACCAGTGGTGCACAAAATGGAGATGATATTCGAGATTTCGGAAAAGTTGAATTGCTTTTCAGATGCTTTTTCTGGGTTGGGAATGTTACATATGCTCATTCATATATTTAACGTTAAATCCCTTGGAACATCAAGGGGGACGTAATTCGGAGATTCGAGTTTTGAGGTTGAGTTTTTTTTGGGTAAGTTTTTGAGGTTGAGTTTGTCACCATTTTACTATCTATCAGCAATGATACCTCGTCTAAATTAAACTCTAACTGAGCTGTATTGAGATGAAAAGTTTAAAAAAAAAAGAAAAAAGAAAAGAAATTCAAAACATCATATTAGATAGGTTTTATATAATAAGGGAGAAATGTTTTTGAATTTATCTCAAAATGTATCAGAGATACATTTTATTTCAACAGTTGAGATGATTTGTTTTTAACTATTAAGGGCTGAGATGGTTTGTGATATTTTCAACATCCCGCCCAAAACAATCCTCTCTCTCCTGCACCCAAATGTTATTTGCACACTTTCTCTCTCTCTTTCTCCAACTTCTTAGGTCTCTCTCCCTTCAGAGATCTCTCTCTTCCTCTCCCTCCTCTCCACTCTCCACTCTCCATTGTCGCTTCGCTTCCATCGTTGCGTCGTCTCCGATCTCCACCGAAAGCCACTCTTCTCCCTCCCAGATCTCAGATCGTCCTCCACCGTCGAGAGTTTGATGAGTTGGCCACCGTGTCTTCCCAAAGCAAACGCAGAGAGATGGTGAAACTGTAAGTCTCCAATTTTAATTTGCTGTAAACTATTTTAATTTGTTGTAGTTGTGATTTCTGAAATGGGTTTGATAGGTTTGATGGGTTTTGATTTTTGAAATTTGAAATGGATTTGATGGGTTTAATCCGCAGAAATCCGTAGAAATTCATATACTAGAGTATACTCTCTCTGTAGATTTGATGGGTTTCGATTTCCGGCTTTGCCACTTTCCGCTCATCCCCGTGAGTTTAGTTTCTCCGTCTCTCTAGCATGAATATAGATATTCTCCATGAAATGGTATGCACTTTTTCCACAATTGTTCATCTAGAAGAAATGTTCTGCAACTAATGATGAATATACACGATATACTTGGAAGTTTAGAATGAGTTGGATGACAAAAGGACAATACAAGTTATACAACTTCCAAATACATAACAGAAGGGACCATTTGCACAACATGAGTACTGCTAATTTATATACAGACTATTTCCTACCACACTTTTTATGTCAGTTTTAACATGTGGGGGTAAGGTTGCGTACACCAACCCTTCTCCCGCTAAAGCAGGAGCTTCATGCACTGGGTATACCCTTTTTACTTTTTACATCCTTAAATGTGGGATAAGTGTTAAAACTGTTAGGTTATTAAACTCTAAGCTAGCTTGGTTATTAGCAAAACCTTGAGTCGATATATACTCACAAAACAGTCATTCGTCGACCTAACTCTTGGAGGGAAAAGGAATACCATTTGTTGAAAATTGAACCAAGTCTTAAATGGCATATGATAAAGAGAATTAAGGCTAAACACCAAGCAGAATTTAAGCCAATATTTTTTTATTTTATTTTATTTTTTAATTGACAAGTGGAATTCAAATACCGTAACAATCCAGCAAATAGTAATGAACCAACATTTATATGGCCTGACATAAAAAGCCACCTATGTTATTTGACTCATTCCAATGATTTAAAATCTCAATTGAAAGAATGATTTGCTTAGTTTCAACCATAAGTGATAGGATATGTAGAGATCTAAGTTCATTTTCCCCATGTAACGTCTTAAAGTACTTGGCCAACATAAATAAATAAAGCATGCCAAGAAGATCTAAGTTAGTTAAGGGACAAGAAGAATCTGTCTACTTAGAAATACAAGAGCAATGGAAAGAATGATTGCAGATAGTTGCGAGAATTCCACTCATGTCTTGCTCCAATCTCTCTGCAACAAAGGAGAAAAATAAGTGAAATCCAAACTGTAAAGCTACAGATCAGCGTCCTATTCCACAATTTCAAGTGGCTTGAAAAAACCTTAAATAAATCAATGTAGTTAATGAGGGAAACAGATTAGCAGGATTTTAAATAACCCTGATGAGGTTTGGATTGGGCGAAACAACTGCACTATAGAATTCTTAAATATCAATTCCTATACCAGCAGAGATCCCTGAGGTCTGAATAGAAAATACTAATTACTCTAAGTACATCACTAACCATGAAACATAGTGCAAACCAATAGACCCCATTGCCTCTTAACCTGGAGGCAGATTCAAAAGTGAAACGAGAAAATACCAGACAAAATAAAACACTCAGCAGATTACAGTTAATTCTTATTTTATTATTTCTTATTTATATAATAAGGGAGAAAGGTAGATAAATTTGAACTCAAAATTTAAATTAGGTTTAAATTGGGTTATCTTAAAAAAATGATCATGAAAGTGAATTTTGAGAAAGAGAAGAAATAATGGGAGTGGTGTGATTTGTTCAAAAGCTGAAAAGAAAAGTTTTTTTATTAATAGAATTTTGACTTCAAATCTATCTAATAAGGCAAGAAGGTTTTTGAAAATATATGAAAATGTCTAAGAGATACATTTTGTATCAATGGCTGAAATGAATCTTGAGTGTATATCAATGGTCTAGATCCATAGATGATTCCTGCCCAAACACTTCTCTCCCTAAACATCACACCTGTTTGCCTTTCCACCTACCCATGTTTGCCTTCCACCTTTCCTGTCTATCTCTCTCTCCCTCTCTGTTCTTCTTCTTGAATACTTTTTCTTATTTCTCTTTCATAGATACATCTCTCTCTCCTCAAAACGTTTCTTCTTTTGCGACGACCACCGCCATCGTGACACCGACGACCACCGGTCACCTCTCATTTCTCTCGCCGGAGACCCAAACCCGAACCCTCTATTCTTGTCCTCCTCCCTCTCTCCCAGCCACAACCTCAATCCCTTCATCTCCCGCTCCTTCATCCCCCTTCATCACTTTAGGGCTTTGTTTTGCAATAGGCCCTCACCTTTTTTTTTTGTTTTGCATTCCATTCAGGCTTATTCTCTGGCTCTGGCTCCTGTGCCAACCAGCGATGGTGAGTTCTGTTTCTTTGCTTTGTTCTCTCTTTCCATGCCGAGAAAATGTTGGAAAAGAAAAGAAAAGAAAGTTTTGTGCATTTCGTTTTCTTTATGAACAAAAATCAAACATTCATGTTTGTTTATTTTCCCAGATCTCCTCCTATATATTACATTTTCTGTGATTAGCATACTTATAATGTGATTAACACTCAAATCTACTTCAATGTTGTAAGTGTTTGTAGAGAAAAAAAAAAAAGTAATAGAAGAAGGCACATTGTGTAATTTTATTTTTTGTCTCTAAAAAAGTAACAGAAAAAGAGAATTTTTATTGGGTTTTGAGTTTTAAGACTTAATAGAAGTAGTTTTGTTTGATGGAAACTTAGGAGTGCTTCTACGTTTGGAGCTAATTTGGTGAGCTGGGTCTGAATTTGGAGCTAATTTGGTGAATTTGGGAAGAGGAATTATATACATTTGGGTGTGTTGTTTGTTGGTGGAATTGAGGTCTATAATGGTTATAATAATTCTGTTTGTTTATCATCATTATCATCAAGATTTGATTGTTTATCTGGGTTTAAAATGGATGTAACGGTATCAAATCTTGATGATAATGATGATAAACAAACAGATTTATTATAACCATTATAGACCTCAATTCCACCAACAAATAACACACCCAAATGTATATAATTCCTCTTCCCAAATTCACCAAATTAGCTCCAAATTCAGACCCAGCTCACCAAATTAGCTCCAAACGTAGAAGCACTCCTAAGTTTCCATCAAACAAAACTACTTCTATTAAGTCTTAAAACTCAAAACCCAATAAAAATTCTCTTTTTCTGTTACTTTTTTAGAGACAAAAAATAAAATTACATAATGTGCCTTCTTCTATTACCTTTTTTTTTTCCTCCACAAACACTTACAACATTGAAGTAGATTTGAGTGTTAATCACATTATAAGTATGCTAATCACAGAACATGTAATATATAGGAGGAGATTTGGGAAAATAAACAAACATGAATGTTTGATTTTTGTTCATAAAGAAAATGAAATGCACAAAACTTTCTTTTCTTTTCTTTTCCAACATTTTCTCGGCCTGGAAAGAGAGAACAAAGCAAAGAAACAGAACTCACCATCGCTGGTAGGCGCAGGAGCTAGAGCCAGAGAATAAGCCTGAATGGAATGCAAAACAAAAAAAAAAAAAGGTGTGGGCCTATTGCAAAACAAAGTCCTAAAGTGATGAAGGGGGATGAAGGAGCGGGAGATGAAGGGATTGAGGTTGTGGCTGGGAGAGAGGGAGGAGGACAGAAATAGAGGGTTCGGGTTTGGGTCTCTGGCGAGAGAAAGGAGAGGTGACCGGTGGTCGTCGGTGTCGCGATGGCGGTGGTCGTCGCAAAAGAAGAAAAGTTTTGAGGAGAGAGAGATGTATCTATGAAAGAGAAATAAGAAAAAGTATTCATGGAAGGCAAACTTGGGTAGGTGGAAAGGCAAATTCTCGGCCTGGAAAGAGAGAACAAAGCAAAGAAACAGAACTCACCATCGCTGGTAGGCGCAGGAGCTAGAGCCAGAGAATAAGCCTGAATGGAATGCAAAACAAAAAAAAAAGGTATGGGCCTGTTGCAAAACAAAGCCCTAAAGTGATGAAGGGGGATGAGGGAGCGGGAGATGAAAGGATTGAGGTTGTGGCTGGAAGAGAGGGAGGAGGACAGGAATAGAGGGTTCGGGTTTGGGTCTCCGGCAAGAGAAAGGAGAGGTGACCGGTGGTCGTCGGTGTCGCGATGGCGGTGGT